TAAAGCTCTTCTTTACAGATGAATATCAACTAAAACATGAAGAAAGAATAGTAGAATTAGAAAATGACCATCCTATAACCTCAAATGAAATAACTTATTCAGGATAAGAAAACTAAGAGAAAATCAAACCATTAATGAAAAGTTTTTGTGGAACATACATTCGCATGATGCCAAAGTTATCACCCAACAGATTATTTGCTAATTCCAAAGGGAAAGCCATACCTTTACAGTGGTGACCTTAACTAAGATATGGAGCAAAGCATCAATAAGTGTAGGGCAATCTAACATTATGTGGCTCCTAATGGATGCAATATAAAGTATAAAATGTCATTAATAAAGTATTTTTTACAAAAAATTAACTTGAATCTAACCAAGACTATATCTGAGTGACAGGTTTACAGCAAATCAGGGGATAGAAGAACGATGTAAGCAGCACCACTAGGAAATAATCGGACACATCCAGAATGTGAGAAATTCCACAAGATGATGGCTAATCTCTTAAAAAAGTCAATCTGGTTAAACAAAAATAAAAACCAAAACACAGTACCCACGCACGCTGCACACACATGGAGGAGGGACTGTTCTACGTTATGAGATACTAAAGAAATCTAACAACCAAATACAACATGTGAGCCACTGGATCCTGTATAGAGAAAAACAGCATTAAAGACATTACTGTGACAAACTGGGAACATACGAATATGGACTATTCAGATGATAATGTGGAACTGTCAGTTTTCTTAGCTGTGATAAGTATATTGTGGTTACGCAGCAAAATGTCCTTAATTTTAAGAGACACAGGATTAAGTATATAGCAGTAAAGTATCATGAGGTCGCAACTTATTTTCAAATGGTTCAGAAACAATTTATACACATACAGAGATAAAGTACACTATCCAGTTAATGAGAAAATGGATGATTATTATATAGTCCTTTCAAATTGTCTGTGAGTGAATCATTATTGTACTATTATTTGGAATCCTTTGTAAGACTGAAATTTTTCATAATAAAAAATTGAGAAAAAGCTTGAAAAACAACTAAAAAAATTCAAATTAAAAAAAAGTAAAAAAAAAAAATTCCAAATAATTTTTAAAAATGAAAATTAAGATGGAGATTCCAAAATTCCACTGGAAAAGAAAATGTAATAAAAAATGGAAGGGAAGAGAAGGAAGAGTCATTACAAAAATTAGAAACAGACATATATATGTTGGAAGTTAATATGTGATAAAGTTGGTATTACCAACTAGCAGGTAGATACGTTACACAATGAACAGCTTGACAATAATTGATCATGTATTTGAAGAAAATTCAAATTTCATCCATAAAAAACAAAACCGAACCCATTGCCATCAAGTCAACTCCAACTCATAGCAACCTTAAAGGACAGAGTAGAACTGCCCCATAGGGTTTCTAAGGAGCACCTGGTGGATTCGAACTGCCGACATTTTGGTCAGCAGTTGTAGCTCTTAAACAGTACGCCACCAGGGTTTCCATTGTATCCGTATGTCCTATCATATACAAAAGTAAACTCTGGATAAAGTAAAAAGCTAATCAAAAAAAGGCTATAAATATTAAAAAATGTGTATTTTAATACCCTTATGTTTGGGAACTATTATTAAGCAAGACATAAACCCCAGAAAATAAAAAGGGAAGAGAGTTGATACATTTGAGTAACTTAAAGTTTTAAAAATTTAATAAAGCACCATAAATAAAACTAAAAGACAAACAATACGAGAAAAGTTTTGCAAGATTTATAACAGACAAAAGGTTAACTGCTGTCATACCTGCAAAACTCTGATAAAGCAGTAAGAAAGAGCCAAAAATAAGTAATAAAACAAAAAATAAGCACAGGATATACACGAAGGATACACAGAAACTCAAACATTAGTAACCTCTCCAAAAATACACTCAATTTCACGTGTAATTAGGATATCATTTCTTCCCCATTAAATCAAGGAGAATTTAAATATTTGATAACACTCAACATGGCAAAGTTACAGGGAAACAGGTATTCTTAAATACTGACGGTAGAAATTATTGTTACAGCCTTTATGAAGGGCATCGCACATTAATTCTGAAATATGTAAATCCCTTAGCCAAACAATTCTCCTTCTAGTTTATTCTAAAGAAACAGAAATTATTTCTAAAGAAATAGTTGTGCATAAAGAAGCATACTCAGGATGTTACTGTAACTGTTTTAATAGCAAAAAAGACAAAATTTTCAATGCTCATCAATAGTTGGATGGTTAAGTAAGTTATGGCAATGGTTAAAAAGAATGAGAAATATAAATATACTGACAAAGAAAGTTCTAGTATTACTATAAAAAGAATCCAGCTTTACAATATGTGCATCATGATCTCATTTATATTTAAGAATAGACTATGGCTGTGTTCAAAAAAGGGATGGAAGGATACACACCTACTGGTAACTTTTTATCTCTAGGGAGGTGAGGTTAGAATGGGAAGGAGTAATGGAGGATATTTGTTTCATATACCTCTATATTGTTTGAATTTTTTAAAAGGAGAATGTGTTACTCAATCATTTAAATTTAATAAATCCATAACTGGAGGAAGTAGACGTTGAAAATCTGGTAATTAACAGCCACTTATAATTATGCCCAGCATCCAGAACACCAAACAACCATAAACTTGTTGGTGTATTTTCTTCTAATTTTTATGATTACATATTTCATAGCCATTATCATTCTGTATATAACACTTTGTATACTTTTTAGAAATTAACATTATTTCACGAGCATTTTCCCTTATTATTAAAAAATTCTTCCCCATCTATTGACTATACAATGCTTTACCTTAGTTATTAAGGAAAGCGTTTCCTTTGCCTTGCCCTTCAGTGACTCATGGCTGAGATAATTATCCTTGAATAGAAGTTTTCCACCTATCATCTTTATAACAATTATGGACTAACTGTAGTCACTGGAATTGAAGTGTCTACTTTTTCTTGACCTAAACAGAGGAACTTCAATGACAAAATAAATTACTCTTCCCTTTAGAACTCAATGAGATAAATGATACAGTATAGTGTTTGGTAATCCAAACAAAACCAAACCCCACTGCTGGTGAGTCAATTCTGACTCACAGCGACCCCACAGGGCTTCCAAGGCTATAAATCTTTATGGAAGCAGACTGCCACATCTTTCTTCCTTGGAGCTGCTGGTGTTTTAGGACCGCTGACCTTCCTGTTAGCAGTCGACTGCTTTACCCACTGTGCCGCCAGGGCTTGGTAAGTGTCCAATAAAGACTATCTGTTACAATGATTACACTTTACTTCAATGAGAAAGTACTTAGCAATGATTTCTACTCCACAGATTTAGAAATACATATTAAACAGTAGAGGCTAAAATAAAAACTCATCATTTGTGGATATTTTGATTGACTAACTGAAGCAGGTTACCAGAAATTCCAAATCAAGTCCAATTTACAAGACAGCAATGAAATAGGTATCTATGTATTATTAAATAAACATCTATTTATGAAACCATTTTCACCTCTTGTACAATCTAAGGTTTCACACTTATTGAATAGTTTCTATTTACACCTTTACTTCTCACAAGCACGTCACTCTGCAGATAGGAGTAAAAAGAACTGATACAGACATTTTACTACTACAAAGCTCCTAAGACAAGAACTCTTAGTAGAGCCTGTGTTTGATATACTTATTCACAAGATTAACAGTTCCTATGAAATGCCATTATTTAAAGTTTAATATCTCTAAAGCTACAATGAGGACAGTTATTAAGGTAGAACTTCTCCCCATATTAGGCCTGGAACCCTGCAGTCACTAAGATCTAGCCAGGGTCTACATTTAGGTAGTCATTCTGAGGACGGTAATACTACTACTTCTGGGCAGCTAAATTAGCCTGCAGATTAATGGAGTATATAAGCAGATGCTCTACCAAAAAAAAAACCCAAAACAAAACAAAACTTTCTAAGAGCTTTTAAAGTGTGAGTGTTCTCTGTCTTTTGTAAGAACATGTTTGATAACAGAAGGGATTAATAGGAGAGTTAAAAGCAAAATTCCTCGATTACTAGATCATGTTTCATATACCAACAATTAAAAGTCTTTAAAAAGTAACAGGGACTATAGCTTAAAACATTAAAGCTTTACAATGATTCTTGTGGCTAGTGATATAACAGCTATATCAAAGCAAACTATTGATTTCTAGTCTAGTTTATTAAAAAAAAGTTAAAAAATGAAGTTGAAGTTCCATCTTTCTGTTACTGACATACTCCGGTTATAATTTTCCATCTATTAGCAATGATTTAAGCTTTATCACTATTATTTACTACAGATAGTCCCTGACTTAACGATAGAGCTCAGTTCCAATGACTCTGCCATAAACTGGTTCTGACGTAAGTCAGATACCTCTTCCCTTTTCTTTTTTTTTTTTTTAGCTTTCATTATTATTGCCTTTTATTATCCATATCTTTATAAATCTTACCTTTATTTGTCTTTGGAGGCTGGAAACATTACATATAAATATTTGCAAGTGAACATCCGAGAACAATAACATCAGCAAATTATGGGCTGCAACACTGTATATAGTACATACTACTAGCAACAAAATGTACCAAGGGCGGCGGGGGTGGGGGATGACACAGATTGTCCTAAGTGCAGTTCATTGCACGTCATAAGTCATAAGTCAGGGACTACCAGTATACCGTATTCCTATCCTTTCTGTCAATTGTTTCAGATTATAATTTTTTTAGTGGGGAAAAAAAAACTTATTTCCAGAATTTTAAATGAGATTGAATTATTGCAAATTACTGTTTCATAAAAAGGTCTATCTGCTGCCTTCAAAATTGGGATGGAAACCAAGATTAAGATGCCTAAGAGCAAGATGGAATTTCTCCAACATTAATTATATGGCTGGTTCAACTTTGAGACTGAAATATGCTTCTACATCCCAATAATTTTAGGCAGCAGTAACGGAAAAGAAGTACAGGATAATATTAAAAGCAAAACTCCACTAACTTACTGAAAGCAATTTGGCCCAAACACAGTGGCGAGATTGTGAACATTCATGCGATTCTGCACATGATGCTTGGCTACTTTTGTCAAAAACTGGCATAGGTACTTCAGGAGGCAGTAGTGGGTGTCTGGTAGCTCTTTTATTAAGTCTCTTAAACTATTCTCCTGAGCATCATTTCTGCCATCTGGAAAGACAAAGAATAAAAAACGTTCTCAGGTATAATTCACAGTAACAACAACAAAAACAGACAGGTGTAATAAATCCTAACATTTAACTCAGAAAAAAATTCCTCAGAGACTGAGACAAGCCATCAAAAAAGAAAAAAAAAAAAGGCATTTCTGCCATGTTTTGATGCTAGAGCATTTGACTTTTGTTTCATTTATGTTAAAGAATTACTAACTTATTCAATAAATCCTGAAAACCACAAACCTTATTCAGTGTATAAAATGGATTCAATATTTCAATTTTATGGGGTTTTCCCCTGAAATTAAAATAATGGTTAGGTTTTTATTCTAAGAAGAATCTGCCATTTAATTTTTGTCTTCAAGTTGGTTAAAAACAAAAATATTTTGCTTGAATAAAATTTAACACTGGAGATCTTCTTGGGTCACCATGAGTAACTCTATGCTTGGTGGTCAGGATAGTGTACATAGAGAAAATGGAAGGAAATATAAAATTTATATATGGCTTTTTCATCTCTAGCATGTCATAGAGTTTAGAATTCCATATGTTTCTCTCACACAAAAGCTTAATAACCTTGCATCCAGCCAAATATGTCTAATGATGTGCGAAAATTCAGAGGTATACACAGGAAAAAATTCCCTCAATTCTTGAAAATTTGTCTTGTCAATCTTAAAAATAATAAAGTTGCAAATTTATATAGTGCTTTCTATCAGAGAAAAATAAAAATATTTTATAGCAAAGAATTTGGAGGAATAATCAATATTCATCCTTTTCACAGAAGTCTAAGAGAATAAAAACTTAATCCGGTTACATTCAATACACCAACTGGATTCATTCAGACAGGCCAACAACTTTAGCCAACCAAGTGAGTAAAAGGAAAGTACAGCAAATGAGATACAAAGGACAAGAAGTGAATTAGTGTTACAAAATGCATGAATATCATGACACTTTTGACAGGCAATGAAAACACACAGAAAGTCACATAAAGTGATACTTAAGAGGCTGCAGAACACAGGTTAAGAACACAGGCTTGATAGTCAGATTTCCTGGGTTCGGATACTGGGTCTCCCACCCTTAGCTCTGTGACATTCGGCTCTTTACTGAACTCTTTGTTCCTGGGTTTCCTCATTTATAAATGGTAACATTAACTACCTCATATGGCTTTTTTTTTTGTACTTTAGGTGAAGGTTTACAGAATAAATAGTTTCTCATTAAAAAGTCAGTACACATATTGTTTTATGACATTGGTTAACAACCCCACGACAAGTCAACACTCTCCCTTCCCGACATTTTATTTTTGGTGAAAATATACATAGCCAAAGATACACCATTTCAAAAATTTCTACATGCACAATTCAGTGACACTGATTACATTCTTCCAGTTGTGCTGCTAATCTCACTTTAGATGAAGGTTTACAGAACAAAATAATTTCTCGTTAAACAGATAATACACATGTTGCCCTATGACAATGGTTAACAATCCCACTACATGTCAACACTGTCCTTACTCAATCCTCATAGGGCTTTTATGAGGATTAAATGAGTTGGTAGTTGTAATGTACTTAAAACTGTGTTTGACACTTTAGAAAGTGATATATATATATATAAATATATATATATACATATAAATATATATATATACATATACACACATTTGTTAAACAAAATAACTTCTTTTATCTTCATTAATTTGGTTTTATGAGTGCACCAAGGTTTTATTGAAATGCCTTTTAATATGAGACCATTTCACCTTTATGAATGTTAGAATAAAGTGAAACTGTCAAAAACAGGAATGCCAACAATGTACTGTAGAGATTTCAATCTGTCAGAATCTTTTTGGAGAACATTTCATTTATGATGGACATAATTATTATTTCTTACCACTCACAGTGTGATCCAACAAACTATATAATTTTTAGGGCAATTAGATTTTTTGATATTAGAAATTTTTAGAAAAAGAAATTCTTTTCAAATACTTGGATAATCCATAAAAACATACGATATGCTGCTTAGGATGGCATTATGATTCCACTGCACTATGATTTTGACTAGATGGGAAATATAAGAAATGGAAATAATTAAGTCTGTTATTGCTGTTGTTAGTTGCCATCGAGTCGATTCTGACTCCTGGCAACCTCATGTGTATCAGAGTAGAACAGTGCTCCACAGGGTTTTCTTGGCTGTAATCTTTATGGAAGCAGATCACCAGACGCGTGTTCTGAGGCACCTCTGGATGGGTTTGAACGGCCAACCTTTTCGGGTAATAGTCCAGCACTTAACCATTTGAGCCATCCAGGGACTCCTTTAATTAAGTTTAGAGTGATTAAAAACTGATTAAAGACTACCTATTCACACACCTTTACCTATAAAAACAAAGAAACAAACAGGAAGGAAGAGAAAATGTCATCCTATTTTGCCTTTTGTTTTTAATGGTGATTAATTAAAAGTGAGTTTTGTTGTTTTCATAGGTGTGTGCACTCTGGTTAAAACTGCTATCTAATTCCCAGCATTTAAAGATACAAGCAACAATATTCCACCAACTTTGACAATGGGCCTCTGGCCTTCTGGCTCTGAAGTGAAACCTCAAACCCTAAGGCAGGCAATGTAAGAAGACACCAGGTCAAATAAAACAAATATTCAAAATATTTGTGAATTTATGACAATAACATCTTTAAAAAAGAAGCAATCTCATCAGTCACTTCCAATTTTTGAAAAATGGTAAGTAAGTTCTCCAGAAAAAGACAAGACAGATAATGGGAAAGGAGACAGATATATTTGGAGAATTTCAAGTTTAACAAAATAACATTAAATCTTTTATGGCATGAATGTACAAATCACTGAGTATGTTCTCAAAAGGTAAAAGCAGGTGAAGAAAAAAGATCTTATATCTATCTCCTTCTACCAAAAAGAATTTCTGTTTCTATAATGGAAAGTAGATTCATTGATTCACTCACTGGACAAGTATTTGAACGTCCTCTACACATTAGTTGCTCTGCCAGCACCATATCCACATTTGAGCCTTAAATATTCATATTACCCTTTCAAATTTTTGTTCAACTAGTTTGACAGTGCAGTAAAGACCTTAATTTATTAGCATGACATTTCTTCTTACCACTTTTCACACTGATTAATTACGTACTAACAATATGTCTTAGAAGAAGCACAGCCGGAATGCTACTTAAAAGCGAGGGTGGGGAGACCTCGTCTCACTTACTTTGGACATGTTATAAGGAGGGACCAATTCCTGGAGAAAGATATCATGCTTGGTAAAGAAGAGAGTCAGTGAAAAAGAGGAAGACCCTCAACGGGATAGACTGACACAGTGGCTGTAACAATGAGCTGAAACAAAGCAACGGTACTGTAAGGATGGCACAGGACCAGGCCATGTTTTGTTCTGTTATACATAAGATCACTATGAGTCACAACCACTCAATGGCACCTGACAACAACGTACTGAGAATTTGCAATCTGCACTGCTATTCCAGAAATATGTGGTAAATATCACCATTATTGTCAGCCTGCAGCAATCCTACATTCAAGATTTTCCACAAGTGAGAATAATAATTACTCAACACCTTTACAGGAGGTTTGTAGAAGCACTGAGTTGTGGGAGTGGTACAAACGTGTCCTTTAAGAAGATGCCTTTTGATGCTTTCGAGAAACAAAGTTCATGATAATTACTATGGCTTACATTAGTTTTTTATCTGTGGATACTTAAATATAATAAACTGCCTTATTTATTCATGTTCTTGCATTTATATTGATAATTACAATGGCTCCCTCAAGGTCTCAGAACATGATAAAAGACAGTTAGCAATGCTTCTATTCTAGTGTACTTTTATGCATAATATAAATTTATCAAACACTATGTGTGCTACAGGGAGCCCTGGTGGTGGAGTGGTTAAGGCACTCAGCTGCTAACCAAAAGTTCGGTGGTTTGAACCCACCAGTTGCTCCGTACAAGAAAGTTGTGGCAGTCTGCTTCTGGAAAGATTCAGCCTTGGAAACCCTACTGGGCAGTTCTACTCTGTCCTATGTGCTATGAGTTGCAATCACCTCGACAGCAGTGAGTAGGGTAGGTATGTGTGATATTTATCACACACGTACTATGTGTCTGACATTCTCTAACACTAGGGATACAGCACTGGACGAAGTCCACATTTTTATGAAACTTATATTCTAATGGGGGGGCACAGACAATAAAAATAAAAATATGTATGTTAAGTTGCGAAGTAAGCGCTGTAAAGAAAAATAAAACCAGGTAAGGGGGAGTAAAGGAGAGTGATGCAGCGGTGGAGGGTGTTATTTCATTCAATTTGAAAAATACATTTGTGAATTATTTGTTGAATCATTCAACAAATATTTATTCAATACCTGCTCTGTGCCAGGCACACTTCTAAGCACTGGGGATACATCAGTAAACAAAACAAAAACCCCTACACCCTCATAGAGCTTAAGGGGTAAGAGAATGAGAAGGAGACAGAAATTAAACAATAAATATAATAACAGGCTTAGTGGGAATTGGGAGTACTGGCTCTAGGTTAGGGGTGGTGATTATAATTATAAATAATATTGTCAGGAAGGCCTCCCTGAGAAGGTAATTGATGTCTTCAGCAGATAAAGTAAAAAATCTACAAACTGGCAAATGTAAGATCGTTCCAGTTTGGAGGCTGAATTTTAAATATATTTAAATCGCTCAATGTCTCGCATAAAAAAGTGACCAAGAAATAGTTAATAGATTGATACACATTTTTAAGACACACAGAAAATAAGCAGGACAAACTAACAAAGGAATGAAAAGAAATTTTCAGAGTCCCTGGGTAGTGCAAATGGTTAACATGTTCACCTGCTAACAAAAAGATTGGAGGTTTACGTCCACTCACAGGTGCCTTGGGAAAAGGCTGGGCGATCTACTGAAAAATCAGCCACTGAAACCCCTATGAAGCATAGTTCTGTTCTGACAGGCACGGGGTCATCATAAACCAGAATCAACTCAATGGC